TGACAAGCTATGGGAAAGTTCATTTCAAGTAAATGGAAGGACTTCACCTTGCACTGAATATAATAGATCTCATCTCTAGAACTGCAAATCATACTTTGTATCTACTAAAATGCAAAAACTAATTTGGGTTAGTACCAAAGAACTAGGATAAATTGTCTAGCCAGATGCTACTCATGGGAGAAAGCCAGAGTTTGAACAGATTCCAATTTAAGATACAGATAAGTGGATTTGCAGTAATCTAATTAAGAGAATTCTCTCTTATCTCTTAAAATACTTCCCAGTTCTGTCTGTGCTACTGAGCTTTATTTCTGCATTACATGAAGGTAGTGCAACTTAAAATATAAATACAGTCTTGATTGTTTTTTTCTTTCATTTTTTTCCCCACCCTCTCCCCTCCTCTTATTTTAAGGAGGGAAGCAAATCCAGTACTAGAGTTCATAGCAGCATTTAGCAAAGCTCTTTTTGCTGCTACCCGACTTGTAGCTGTCTTTCCAAGAACACAGCAGTGAATAATTAACATTTAGTACCATTTATATCCACATGGGAGTGCTAAGCACCTACCATAAAAATGTCAATTTACAGTGGCTTCAAGTAGATTTCTGGCATTGGATTAAGCATCACACAGCAGCAGGTCTCTAAAGGTTAACCTCTTAGTCGAGTTAACCTTTTAAATCCAGGTGTAAATTTAGATTAGGCATTTAAGAAAGCTTGTTTCATAAACGCAAAGCACCCGACAGCATTTAAGTCATACTAATATGCCAGGTGTACAAGTATAGTGCCTTTTTTTTTTTTTAAGGTGTCTGAGAAGTTCAACATGTAAATGCTCTTTAATAGAAAGAAGGAACATTTTATTTATAGTCACAATACAGGCGCAGCTCATGTGACACCTGTAAGAAAGATTACTGTAACTCCAGGGAAGAATAATCACAGTGAGATACTGCAAACCACTGGGCATACACAGCCCAAATAAGGTACTAATCACTTGATTGTAGGCTTAAGTGAAGTCCAAGTTTCTCCTGTTCTTTTTACCCACTGCAATCCTTTTTTCTCTTAGGATGAAACCGTGTTTTTGGCTTCATAATATTTATATACAACGATGATTCGGTTCTGTGGTTTGTATTAGATAAACTACTATAGCAGTAAACACTTTGCATATACCATTACTTACCCCTTTTCATCACCTTACATATAGGCCTATCGAGTCTTCAAATACAACCATGCCATCCAAGTTCACAAAAGCAATTTTAAGCTATTGAGATAGTAGAAAAGTGGGGGTTTCTCCCAATTAAACACACGCATCATCTTGAGGTCTTTGATACAATGGTGAAAATTTAAGCACTTCAGGAGGGCCAAGCCAAAACAGGGATCAAGTATTTTGAGTTAAGGCTGCCATTTAAACTTTCTTTTGTTTTACAACAGAAGTTTATAAAATTCAGCAGAATGAAAGCTCACACTGCCCACCAAAAGCATAATCTTTGCTTGGTTCTATTTCACCACTTCCATATCTTTTCCTTCTAGAAATAAGTGAAAAAAAAAAAACAACAAACCGAACACCTCATCCTGCATGAAGAAATTCTAGTTTGCAGATGTACGACAGAAATCCCACTGAGACTTGGTGGTGGTTATGCAGACAATTTGCTAGACTATCAAAGTATTTATTATTCAGCCACCAGATGAAAACCACTGTTTATGCTCCTTACTGGACAGCCTTTGAGCATGTTATTTTCAAGGCATGGTTACCACTAAATGAAATTCATTCACAATTTCTAAAAGATCATTTAACTCCAAGTGACTTAAGATGACTGCATCTAAGATATCACAAAGCTTAGAATTCAGCTTCAAAAAAAAAATATATTATGTTCTAGGAAGTGGTATTGATATAACAAGTACCTTGGGAGATCTGCAGACTGACATCGAACAGATTCATCTATATGATAAAAAAAAAAAAGAATTCTGTTTTGAGACTGGCATTTTAGCCTCTCAAGGTCTGCAAGCAAATGAAGACACCTATGTGTATGCCCACACGCAACTGCCAGGGCATCAAACTCTAAGAAGCTTATTTGAAATAACAAAACCAAACATCAGCAGTTTCTTTCTTAGCTAAGTTTTACCAAAGATGGTATTGGAAGGAACATTGTTTATTGTATTACTTTGATAATGCACAAAAATATTTGAAATGCACATTAATAATATTTTCATGTACAACTCTGAGCAACTGATCCCCTTAACTGGAAAAAAAGTATTTGAATACTCTGTATTGCATTTTATAACTTTAACTGCACTTTTTTAAAAAAAAGTTGTCATTGTTTAAACTGTGTTCACACTTGTCACTCAGTTCAAGACATTCTTAAAATAAGCAGCATTTCCTTTATATTAGTATCACTTGAACACTTAATGCAGTTTTATCTTTGCTATCAGGTTTTACTGAAGGTTTGAAAATAAAATTAACTGCAGAAATTAATACAGAACATAAATGGTTAAACACGGCAAGCTAATTTCCTACTTTACTTTCCCAACAACACAAAACAATGAAAACCAACCAGAACCAGGTAGCTGTTGAACTGTGTTTTTGTTACATGTTTGCCATGGTAATTTCCCCCCCATTCTCAGCCAATTTTTCTTTAATAGCCATTTTAATTGGACCAAAACACTGAAAAAGCAGAGGAATCTGCATGTGAGAGTTTTACCACAGTGTCATTTAATATGAAATGGTTTTAGGTAATAATTGAAGAAATGCTACTGTTGAAGGTATTCACCTTGGCACTTTTTGGGTTTGTTTTTTTTTTTTTTTAAGTCACAGAAATGTGTACCAACAAGTAAAAAAAACGTTTCAATGCAGAACTATGGCTCCCCAGCAAACTTGCTACATAGTTTCAGCAAGAGATAGCTACTAAAATTAAAAGTTTATTTTAAATATAGCCCCATTTTGGACCTGACCTTGCATTCCTGAAGCAGGTGAGATCTGTAAGGACTTTTGCCTGAATTAAGAACTGTATGATCACTCTTTCCAGCAAGTAGTTTGGTGTAGTTAAACACATACTGAAGAGCAGTGTGTGCTTTTGTCTGTATATGCATGTACATACACCAATAGGCACTGTATAGCTATATACACAAGGCCAAACTGCAATTAAAGATTTAGACTTTGAAACTGTGTCTCTTTAAAAATAAAATTTTAGGCTCCTTGAGCTCTGATGTTAGCAGCTATTCCTAATTTGCAAAGTCATCAGGTAGCACAACAGTTTAAATATAAAATTACTAATAAAAAAAGTAAAAATTGGTATATAGCAGAATATATGGGAGATAATGGTGGCAAGTAGTATTTTAGGGTCCTTAAGATATTCATACCCACAGAGTGTAAAAAAAGTCAAGTCTCACTTCCAGCTGTACCAGTCACGCAAAGGCCTTACCTTCATTAGCAAGAATAATGCAACAAACCACTTCCCACAATTTTTTTTTTTTTATATATACCTCAATATGCCAATATCGTGCCTTTACATTTTAGCATGGTTTTGCCCTTATGCACTCCAGAACTCTGAAGATGAGATTTTTGGGTGCTCCTGTGCATGAGTGATAGTTAGTAATGAAAGTGTTAATGTGGTCTTTGGCACCTCTATCTCATTAGTAAAGCAAAGTCCTGCTCCATTTTTTTTTTCCTTTTAATAAAAAAAGAAAATAAATCCCATCAGTGGTGCATTCCATGAGCACTGAAGAGTAGAATAGGTCTGTACAGCCTGATGATAGAAAAACATATGAAATGGCAATACGTGTGTCTATAATTGTCTTTCCAATCAATTGCACAGAAGCTTGGTCCACTTCTTCAGTTACAGTGTAGTCCTCTTAAGAACTTTGGTTACAGCATTAATGTTTTGGTAAAAAAAGAAAAAGAAAAAAACCAAGACCACAGAGCAGATGCTTTCCTTCTTTTCTTCAGGTAGATTTTTCATTGTCCTCTCCTGTCTTCTGAACCCGTGAATACTTTTTGCATGAAGACTTGAAGCAGCTGGGAGGCCAAGATATCGGCCAAGAAAAGCTACAAGGAACAGAGCCTTGCACGTTCTTCTCAAAGAAATAAAATATTGGATACCACCAGGCTCGAGAGAGAAAGTTTGTCTGCGAAGAGACCTTTAAAGTCTGCATTGGCACAAGCAGGTAAAGAGGAAAAGGAAACAGACAATCAGTTTAAAGCATTATAATTGATTACATTGAGTCAAGAGAAGTACAAAAATGCAATACATTGACATGCCTTTCTGCAAAGACAAGGTGCATTTAGCCTAAAAAAAACCACTACTGAGAGAGTGTATACATCATAGTCCAAATCTATACTCCAAACTGACCATTTAATGCAAAGGGATGCTTTGTTTCTGTACAAAATACAGGGAGATGAAGCACTGACTTTGAACATGAGCCCCTTCAGGCGTGTCATGTTTCCATTGAGGACTAATAGTTGAAAAACTAGATTAAAAGGGCTTGAGAGCTATGCTCTTACTTGAAAGTGTTCTTGAAACACCTGCAGCAGACACAGTCGAACAATTTACTTCTAGCAACACTTACAGAAGAACTGTCACTCAAATTTTAGGATGGTCTAGGTAATTTAGGTTGGTCAGAAATTACTGAACTACTGTTTATTCATAAGCTTAGACAAACAAGGGCTCTTCTATACATTCACTACAGCAATAAAACCTGAGCGTTCAAAAAAGTTTTTAAGCCAAAGTATCAGGAATTTTAAAAATAACTGTAAAAAGTAAATTTTGAAATAACAGGCATAGATCAAAAAAGAACATCTTAATCCATTAAGTATTTACTTCAACCAACCAGTGAAGTGAAATTCCTTGTCCCATTTGTTTAAACTTCAATATAGAACTTCTATTTTTATTTTGAAATTAAGAATGAATTTTGATTCTAAAGGTATTTGCCACTCACCTTTTCATTAGCCATTGAGTGATACCACCAGAAAAGCCGCGTGGTGATATAGTAAGCAATGATGACATCCACGGTGTAGTGTTCATGAGCAACAAGGATGCAAATTATGCCAGCAGCGCTCATTAGCCAGCAGATTAAGTGATACCACCAGAAATGGCGTGGCGAATCTGTGAAATAAGGAGGTGACAGGAAAAAAAAACAGACAAAAAAGCCATATGCATTATTATAGCAATCCACAAAGGGAGGGGGGAAAGATTAAAAAAATATATATATTTAATTAAGGCTACTAAATTTTAAAACATAACTCATTTATACCACACTGGTACAAGAACCTTGTTTTGACACAGAAAACAACAGTAAGAAAGAATTATGCAAACTTACTGAGGTGTTCTTTGTAAAATGAAGACAACGTGAGATTGCAGTTTGACAGTACCATCACCCATTTTCTAGTCAAATTAATACATTTCCAGTTAAATCATTTTTAGGGTGTGGGGTGCAGGGGAAGAGACAGAACTGAAGCATGACACACATTGATTGTTTCACTTGGGTGTATTAATCTCTATTCTTTTTACAGTCTATGCTCAAATAAACTTACACTCCAGTAACACCTCTAGAATTTATGTGACCTGAGCAGAGGTCACAGCTTAAACAGGAAAATACACTCTTATTTTAATTCCTAGGTTTTAAAGTACTTTGCATGAAACCACCTCTGTTCTGTGAAACAGAATACACTGTACAAGGAAGTACAGTTTGTGAGTTTCTCCCCTTTCATTAAAGATTAACAAACGGGGGCGAAGCCGTTCTTCAAAATGCATTTAAGCCACTTCAGTGGAAAAGTTCCCCTGCCCTTCTTTCCGCATTGTGACACCCAAGGCATTTTTCAGTGACCATTCATAACTTCTGACAGGCTCATGGGCTTCATTTCACTCGCAGCAGGAGGTTTTGGCAGCCGTTGCCTCGTGGGGCCATGGTCAGCCTGCACTTTCACACAACACCAGCAGAAAAGCTACTGATCTCAACAAGCCTTCCCAAGTGTTTGAGAGGCCCGTGCTAAATAGTTACTGTAGGAGGACCTAAATTGTCAAAACAGTAAACTCTCTCCAATGTTTTGGGGAGAGTTCAGACAAATCTCTATCTACCAATTAAAAAAAAAAATTATAAGGAGCCAAGTCATCTCCAGAAGTTGATGAAAACAGCCCCGAGCAAGACAGACACATCAAGGATAAAAATGTAAATAACTATTCTGGGGGAAAAAGGCTGGAGTGCGGGGGAATAAGTGAAGAAGCAGCAAAGGATGAAAGGAAGACAAGAGCAGAGCAAAAAAACCCACTAAGGCAGGAATAATAAAAACCTCAGAACGCATCTTGTACTGCTTTTCTGATGACATGTCTTCAGAAAAGAATACCATAAGCAACCTCTAATTCAGAGCAATTATAGGGCTTAAACTCTTGCTCAGACAACGTTTTGTAATTATATGGGAGACAGAAAAAGGAGAGCTGTGCATTTCTCATTTATAGAGCACTACTCCACTGAAATATATGCCTAACAATAAGGCAGCAAAGGGCTTATTACAAGATGATACACCACATGATACAATTCCTCCAACCCCCTGTGATAAAAGCACGAGTTATATTAGCCTTGAAAGTACTGGGTTATCTGCATCTTTCGTGATACTAAAGATATTAAAGAGTATGTGACCAGCGTTAAGCGCCAATAACATACACAAAACAAGGCCAAAAAAAGGCTATTTTCCCAATACTATTCTGGTAATTCTGATGAGTGGAGCCACACATGCCATTCCCCCAATAACACAACACAAAGGACTTAGGCCTAACAATCAGCAGACTGTAATCAGCAGTCTAAAAATCACTGTTTGAAGAAGACTGCCTCACATCCACAGATTTGAAGTTTTTCATTATAAATAGGCATTTTTATACTGCATTTTTTGTTTAAGACAGAATGTAGCACTGCAACTTCCTTCAACATTTTAATAAAAGGAAGGCATTCAACTGCTGCTGACTAATCTTATTTCCATGTCAGTGAGAATCACACATTCCCAGGAGCCAAGCTGGCGTTTGCATCGTTTGGGACACAACTTTGGTAGAAGATTCCAATTCCAAACATGGGAACTGGAAAGGGAAGTCCCCAGTAACACTTTCATAAGCGACCCAGTTCCCAGGGTAGAGCGTTGCTCACCATATATCAGATTTAGAAGTTGGTGCTCAGTTCTCCAAAGCTTCAATCAATGCTCTGTGTGCACCACACAGATAGGTTTTGCCCCCACACCCCATAACAATGTAAAGCAAAGGGGGAAAACATAACCCCAACTGTATCTTCTGAGTGTTTGCTAAATTCTCACCAACTTCAACAGGTGTAAGTAGAAGACTCTAGCAGAAGACATCCCCGGAGCACGATACAACTTCCTATTGTTTGGAATAATTCATGTACAGCACACTTAAAAGAAATGACATTACTTCTGGATGTAGCACAAGCGTGCGATGGCGCTGTGCTCAAGCCACAAAAAAAGAGAAAATAATCCCTTAACATCTAAGGTATATCAGCCAACCTGCACAAAGCTGATCTGCATAATTAACTACAGTATGTTTTACCCCAAATTGGAATAGCCTGTCAATGAATAATGAAAAGCTAGCTTGCTTCAACCAACCAGTAAACACTATTTGAACAAGAGAAGTGCACGGAAATGCTTACACTCTTTGATGAACAGGTAGATCAGCGTTAATACCACGGTGTGACCACTGAACAGGAAGTCTCCACATAGGATGTGTGATCCAGTTATGGACAGACCACCACCAGAAATCAGTCGCAGGATCCTCTGAACCTTTGCCTGAGAATCTCCATTCAACTAGAACACCAGAAACAGTACAAAAAAACCCCTTTAAGATACACTGTGACTCAAATAAACTTCTTTCCCGAAATATATGTGGATTCAGGGAGATAGGGAGAAAAGGACACAAATTATTTTCATTTTCTTTGGCTTGCTTTCACATATTCTTAAACAAACAAGCATGCATTTCAAAGTTGGCAGGTTCTAAAGATCAGCTTGATAACAGTAGCATTCTGTCTGTGCTTTCCCAGGCAATTTTAAAATGTCTATGAGAATGAGCTGCAGAATATACTGGAAAGGTAAACATTAGAAGTTCCTATGGTCAGTTATCTCGTGATAGCCACTGGACAGACCGGATAAGACACATTCAAAACTAGTTCCAATACAGTACAACCTTGCATACCAGATTTGCCATTCTGTTCAGACCTGAGCAGTGTTTCTACAAGACAAAACCCTCAAACGTTTGTCGTTTCAGATTTAGTTACAAGCTCAGTCAGGACTTACTCAGATTTAGAGGATTATTATTTTTTTTTAAACATGCATTAGGATCAGCTTTTGATTTCTCAACCTGAGCAGTGTTTCTACAAGACAAAACCCTCAAACGTTTGTCGTTTCAGATTTAGTTACAAGCTCAGTCAGGACTTACTCAGATTTAGAGGATTATTATTTTTTTTTAAACATGCATTAGGATCAGCTTTTGATTTCTCATAGATACTAGGCAAACATTCAAGTTTCACTTAGCTGTTTAAAGATTAACTCTGGGAAAAAAAGGCAAACAAGATAAAGGGATAACTGAGTTTTTCATAATCAGAAAAAAAAATATTCATACAGGTCAAGAAAAGAAATCGAAAAGAAATCCAAAAGAGCTGTCAAGTTTATCCAAAGTAATTAATCCTGTTTTAATGCTAGCAAAATGTACCTTCAGCAGATAGATTTGAAGTTTTCCTTTGCTTACCCCTTTCCCACCCTCGATACAGTCTACTACACACCAATTCATTCCCCAAGGTACTAGAACAAAACCGTTGGATCTTTGCAGTGGTATGTACACAAATAGAACTTATTCAAATAGATACTGATTCATAAGAAAAGTAGTTCATGCACTACGTTCCTACGTTGTCCCAGTGTGAAAGACTAAGACTGAACAGACATAATGCTGTACCTCAAGATGGACAAGATCTGACAGAGAAAGGGACAAATTTAACCCCCAAACAAATTGGCACTCTTTTCAGGTTTCAAAAGGCTTATCTTTTCAGTGCACAACCAAACCATTTCTTACTCAAGTGCACTGTTCTTTCAGTGCAGCCAACACAATACGGTTTGTTCCATGGCAATTATGTCTGCAACTTTTTATTAGTAATGTAAAGTAGCAGTAACATAATTCCTTTGTGTCATCACCTAACTACACTGCCACTTATTTTTTTAAGTATTCTTGCAGAAATACTTGCATGTACATGCTTTTATCTGTATCTGCTCATTCTACTGGTCATATTTCTATACATTTTGCAGGTTGGAAGCAAGGACAGGCAGCTGACTTCAGGTATTGTGACAGCTCTTGTCAAAGTAACCTTAGAAACAGGACAAAGCATCTAACACTGAATTTTTTAAAAGGATACTGCAACACAAGCTTGTGTATGAGCCTATGAATTACAGTATTGACTTTAGGTATCCTACCATGTAAGAAAAAAAATATTGCTGCAGTATTAGTGATTAACTTGAGCCTCAGAAGCAAGTTCACTGATTTGGTAGCAGCACTATTTCAACGCAGGTACTCTCCTTTAAAGCATCTTAGCTACAGCAATGGCTTGAGGCTCTTTCTGTACCACACAACTCTGGTTTATCACTATCTGTGTTTCTGAAGGCATCAACTGGAAGTAATGCGTGTCATTAAATAACACCTGGAACACCATCTTCTCTTTGCTCTAGTGGGCCACAAGGACTCAGGCAGAAACTAAGGCAAGAATTTGGAAGCAAAGGCTCTTACCTTTGGTGCACACTGAAAATGCATCCCAGGCACAGGTAAGGTGGTAACATACATAGTAATACAGCGGTATAGATACAAAGTTCCTATTATAAAAAAGAACCTCCGTCCCACTATTGATCTGAAAGGGAAGAAGGATAAGATTGAGTACAAAGTTCACATGGAGGATATACATAAAACAGTTACAGAGCTCTAGGTTTATTAAATAGCTAAATCCCTAGAACTAAAGGGCAGCTCCACTTCCTGCACTTCACCACACACTTCTCTATATCAAACACTTAAAAGTCTTTCTTCGGGTTTTAGTCTTGCTGTCTCATAATAGTACTACTAACTACCACAAAGCTCCCACCAAAACTATCTAACCAATTTAATGTGGCCTCAGCCTAACTTTGGTGTGCAGTCAGGCATAGTCCTCCTTGACTCAGTGACCTTCTCTTTTTAGTCCCATATTATAACCACGTACTCAACTTAAATATGTCCAGTTCAAGCAAATGAAGATGAAGCAAAAAGCTTCTAGTCTAGTTGTAAAAGACACTAGACTTCTCAAACTTGGATAACTTTTTTTTAACACAACATCATGATTTCTTCTGTTTAAACATTGCCATGTCAGCAAACTCATTTTGAAAAGCCCAACCTCAGAATAAATTTGATTAGTACAACACAGGTGTGAAATTCAAATTTAAAAAACATTATTCAATAATCAGAAAAACCTGTGTTTTCATATCCAGCATGGACACCAGAATATTTTGTAAAGAAGCCACCCCTTTGTCATTTTCCTGTCAGCCCTATTCTACAATATTGCTACAGACACCATCAGAGATTTCTTCTATCCAAAGTGAACAAGGGAAATCAACATTCTGAAAACATACAGCAGAGGAAAAAAAAAAAAAACAGATTAGCTACTTACTTGTATCTAAGAAACAACCATTGGAATATCCATAATCCAACTAGTATCATTCCATTTATTTCTGATACAGAAAAAGCCCATTTCACACGATCAATGTAATCAAAAAATTTGTCAGGCAAGGGAGGGCTTAGCTCCTTTGGAGGTACTCTCTCATGGACCACAGTGATCATGACAGTTGTTAGAATCAAGTTGAAGAGAGCATAGACAAAGGCAATGCCTGTTTTCCACCATTCCAGAGGAAATTTGTTCCTGGACTCAGCAGGCATAGCAATCTGGATGTAGTCAGGATATTTCTTTGTTGTTTTGCGCAAGCCATTAGACAAGCCCTTTGGTTTGCTAGTGCCATTTTTGTTCTCTTCACTGACTGAAAGAGTAGGTCGTGAGTAGCTGTTAGAAGTGTCATTGTTTTGACCCTCCATATGCTCTTCAAGCTTTGCTGTCTCAATAGTATTCATTCTCACGCTGTATGGCCAAATCAGCTTTATTAGTGACTAATTTCTGGGCTTTCTAAAGTCTGTTATTCCTCGAAGTCCAACGTTCTTGTTCCTAGAATTTTTTTTATAATTTCTGTAAAACTCTAAAAAGCGTCCATTGTGCTTTCACTATTCAGGTACTGCAAAGCAAGTCATGAAAACAAGTCTTCCTTTCCTCTACAGCTGTATCACCTGCAAAAAAAAAAAAAAAACCAAAACCAAAAAATACTGAGAACCTTCAAGAACAGTAATGAACACTGAACAAATATCTTTAAAATGCTTATTCTAAGTTCCATCCAACTCTACTTACAAATGCAGTCAAAAGGCAAACCAGAGAGAGGTGGTTACTGTGACATAATTCCAGCCAGTTCCTACTGAGTAACTTTATAAATCTCTGATCAGTTTTGGAATTAGTACCAATTTAGGCTTTTTTTTTTTTAAAGGGCAAGATCTACAGACTTGAATGGTCATGACAGCACTTCCTTTCTCAATTGTCAAAATTAAGCCTAATCCATGTTTGCAGCAATACTGAATTTTATGTATTGAATTTTATTGTTTAGGAGCATGCCATACAAAATATCTCATTTTTAACCCTAGGGTTGCTACAGATACTAACATGGTTTGTCCACATTGATCGGGTAATCTTGTTAGTCCAAGGTGACAGGACAGAAAACAGAAGGGCACAATAGAATTTCTATAGGATTTGGTTTTGTAAGGCATAGAGTAATTTAGATCCATCTAGAAAATCTACTCGGTGGATAGCTCTATTGAATTTTTGTGAATCTAAATGAGTATTTCAACTAAAACAGTCAAAAAAAAAAAAAGAGAGAAATGTGTCTACATAGCTAACACAGTGCCCACTAAATGTCTGAAATTTCAGAAAGCTGAGAAACATACCTCAGGATTAGATTCTTAGTTATGGTCATCTATATGTAGGACAAACTACAAACAGATTTGTGTTTAGCCTTTAGTTACTTAAAAATGTCTGAGGTTTTTTTTGTTGTTTTTTTTTTAAACACAAACAAATAGCAAGATTCATTATCGCACAGGATTTTTTCAGGCTACATTTGTCAATTCAGTAAAGTTTCATTAGACAAAAAAATAGGTAAGAGCATACGTTTTATAACAACATTTTCTACAAAGAATTAAATTCACCTGTACAACACTGACACTGCTCTAGTCAAAACAAAGGCCATTCCCCCCCTCCTGTCTTTAAAGTTCTGTGAAACCACTTACTTACCATAGTTGTGTGTATCACGCATACTGTGATGTACTTATTTTCATTTTTCTGTTCAACCCCTATGGCTAAAGTAGTTATTATCATATACAAGGTGTTTGATATCTACCAGCAAATCATAATTCTCTCTTTTTTTTTAATTGTTCCTCTAAGAGAGGTTGAACACTACCACCACTTCAAGTCTCTGCATGCCAGTTTGCTGTGCTGTATGTACAATTCAGTCACCATGATGGAAGAAGAACTTGGTTTAAGACAAAACAACCTGCTCAAGAAAAAACTATCCAGTAAGTGACCTCTTGATGGAAAGGACAATCTAAAACCAAACCAGCCCAGAGAGTCAGGTGTTTGTGTTTTGGTCCCTCCCTAAACAGAGAAGATATTTAACATGGTCAGCATGTAAACTCCACTGATTTCCTGGCTGTTGCTCTTACTGCTGAAAGAGAGAAGGGATAAGGGTTCAGCTCTCAGGTAGGTGAGATTGATACAAATAATACTAAGAGAGTAAAGAAGCATTTCAAAATTAACCTCTCAGCAGTGTTTCTGAAACCCACTGTCATTGGCTGACCTTCTCTAAATCCCTACTCAAGGGCTGTATAGAAACTGAAACACAAACAAGACACCTGAACAACTCTCCACCTCCCCCAAAAAAACCAACCAAGAGTACAAGTGGTGATTTCAGAGACTCTCCCTCTTACTAATCAGATTATAATTTCCACTTCACTTAGAGAAGGTGATGTTTAACCCTGCAGCCAGGAAATGACCTCTGATGCTTCCTATAACTAAGAATATTATTTTAGAGCTGCTACAAAAGCAATAACCTTACTTAAAACTGTAGTAGAACAGCATTTCAATTTTCTCAAGTCCTTTTCTTAACACACACGTTCTTCTACTCCCTCTGTCTACTACAGACAAGCATATGACAGAATGCTTAAGTAACAGTAGAGAAATAAATCTGAATCCCTCTAATTGCTTAATTTTTGGAACAGTAGGCGAGTGCTAGGCAGACCTATAAGTCAAGACCCTTCTTCTCAACAGGATGTTAGTCACTTACGTAGGCAACAACAATCAAAACTTGATAGATTTTGTATCCTGCACAGTTGAAACTTTTTTAGAATTATGCGTTTACTGAAGAACAGAGAGCAACACACTAAGTAGCAACCTTAGTTATTTCCTTCTTTTCCCCACAAATACCCAATACCACTAGTAACATAAGGAAGATTATTTTCAGATATCTAATGACATCCAAGTAAGCCTTAAAGACCTAACAATCTAAAAGTAGAGTGGCACTCAGTGTTTTGTATTAACTTATTAAGCAAAGCAATTATACCTACAGCTTTGCAGGAGAAAAAAAAAAAAGTTGTGTTCCTTCCTGGTACTTTTTGAAATGGATTGTAAGGCGTATCGATCTGCCACTTCTGATGGCTCATCAAGATTATTTCAAGCAGAGTGCACGCTGCGGTCAAACCTTTGTTTACATTGATAGTCCAAGGTGCTATAAACCATCTCAGTGATCAGTAAGATCATAAAGCCTTTCCTTTATAGTACCTTTCCCACCTGTTTCTCCCATAGTCTAAAAGAAAGCGGAAACAATAGATGATGAAAAAGACAAAAAAACCACCCAAAACATTCTGCTTGAAGCTTTCAGTCCCTTGCTGACTGGCCAAAGAAGTGACAGATACAGAGCACCTACAGCCTAATCATCCTCTGCTACAGGCTGTAAAAGGAGCTCCCCAGAAGTACATCAATTTTTCTCCCAAGTCCCTGTTCCCAATTCACTTATCCATCCAAGTCCCCTCGCAATGAATGCAAGGAGGGATGCATTCCTTTTGGCTTCCACATTGTCCTTATGTTAGTTCAGGTAAAATACCCTATTGCTTCTTTTGTTGAATCTGGAATGCCACCATATCAATAACAGGAGATGCTCATCAACTGCCTAGTAGTAGGCCTTACACTTCTTCAGTAATCAGGCAGTAATGCTTAGACCTGGCCATCTTGTCAACATCTAGGGTCCAAAAAAATCAAACCCAATTGCTCTAAGCTACAGCACATCCACTGGGGAAGTCTCAAAGACTTACACAAAATTGGCTAAGTAACCCAAAAAGATAAATAAAATTCCTCTAAGGGATACAACCAGGTTTTAGGAATTTCTCTTTCTGGAATCACTTCAACACCTTCTAAAGAAATAGATAAAAATCTCTCATCAAGGAGCAAAGCTTCTTAACAAGCAATATGACAGCAGAAATAATAATTGCCACAAGTCAATGCAAAATCTTAAGACTGAAAAAGATGCAAAAAGCAGCTCAGTTTATCCTGTGCTTCTACTTGCTCCCATCCAAACAGCTCCTTTAGTTTTCTGAATCCCTACTTCACTGTCATTCAAAAGAAAACAGTTGACTGGGAGTACAGCTTTGAGACACGTTTAAGAAAGCATGTCTACATTTGGCTCTTTATGCTAGAGCTAAAAAATAACAAGCAGTTTTATTTAGCTTGTTAGTCATCCGATTCTCACATAGGTCATTTTCACAAGCTAGCTCACAATTGCTGCTTCTCAACCAGTATGCAGAACTTCTGTAACATTTCTTAAAATATTTTAATTTCTTGAATTTATCAAGGATTTAATAGTCACAATTTGCACAGGCCTTCCAAATAAGTAGTTCTTAACCCATTGTTCCAAATATGAACAATACTATTGGAATAAGAGCATACAAAATGGCAAGACCCATCTATGCTGACATTAAGGAAGGATGCACACTCATATGCAAGATGGGAAAGGTTTCTAGGCAGTAGTATTCTCAAACTTCATTCACTTTTGTTAAGATTGCTCAAACAATTGATACAGCTGTAACATTCTTGTAAAGAAAAATGGTCTGTTAATAAATACTGCAGAAAAAAATTACACAAGCAAAGACAACATGAGAAAGTTACAGTATCATCATATTATCTATATCACAATTAGCAGGAAACAACTGTTAGCTGGTTTGTATTTTCTTCAGTCAAATTTTTAGGACCACCTATGGGACTAAAACTAGAAAAGCAGCTGGGTAGCCTCTGCTACCTTGACAGCAGTGAGTAAAAACTGGCTTTTGGTGTTTTCTCTTTTTATTGTTAAAAGCATTCCAGATCTCAGTTTGTTTTTATAGTATCCCTTCTTCCATGCTGTATGTATGCCTCTGAGTAGACCTTTGAGGAAAAGAAAAATACTATCACAAAACAAAACCCAACTGCTAAACCAGATCCCAGTAAAGTGCAATTAGGTGTGCAGAAACAAGACTGAGTTTAATAGGTTTGCTTATCATTTCTATTTCCCTACAGCAAAAATATTTTCAGAGCTGTGTTCAACTTCCACCTGTACAATGTTTACACTCACAATATATAAATACATGCACAAAGTGAATTGCATTTTATCTAAAAGTTACGAGTTTATCTGCATTCTCTAATAGGTTGCCAACACCTTTCTTGCTTATATGATGCTGAAGTGCAAGTAAGATAAGGCTGTATTACAGAAGCACTGTTCATTACAATGCTCTCTAGATTATCATCATATTGTCACTTGCAGTAAGTTTCAACTTTTATAAAAAGCATTAACTACATACACTGTACAAAATTCTTCTCAGTAGTAGAAATAGAGTCATAGAGTCGTCCAGGCCAGATAGAGCAGATATTCCCTCTACCTTGAGAGAGAGTTTGCAATTATCTCATTTAGGATTACTAATGTACCACCAGAAGCTGTCTTTTAAGGACTAAATCCCTACACTTACCCAAATAGAGCGGAAAAGCTTCAAGGTTCCTAGTTACCTGTTTGTACAATCCAGGTTTTACCTGTTCTGTGGAATTTTGTTTCTTCACGCCTTTTAATAGTAAAAAGAATATTAGTTTCCATTTTCCTGGCATTTAGTATTCAGTGTGTTCCACAGCAGTGCCAGGCTTCCAAAACAGTACATCCCAAGAACCGCAAAAAATATCCCTACCCACATATGTGTAGATATGTAATTATTATTTTTTTTTCTTTAAGAGCACTTGCTAGGATCCCAGTGACTACCTAAGCAAAAAAAAAAAAAAAGTCTTGGAATGCTTTTCTCATTATGAACACTGCTGAGTAGGTTGCCTTAACTGTGTGAAGGCATCTTCAAACTTTTCAACTGTTTAGTCCTCACACTCCATAAATATTTGGTAATTAAGAGTCTGATGCCCTTTAAAGGTGCTTTGTATCCTTAAAATATAAAGGGAAATAACCAGGAGGAAAATTTAAGAACCAAGGTCAGTGTCTATTAAATGGCAGTTATTTGTTATTTTTTAGCACTAGAGTAACTCATTCTGACAATAATACACATGTATATGGCATAAATAAAGGGTTTTATTTACAGGTTAACAGTATTTCCTAAAAGAAAGGTTTTGAGAATGGCCAGAGTCATATCTGTAGAATCAGAAGCGCTCACAGAATAATTCAGGTTAGAAGAAACCTCAGCCTCTGGCCAGGATCAGCTGTAACATCAGATGAGGTTACTCCATGCTTCCTCCAGCTGTACCTTTAGCACCCCCAAAGATGCACAACCTTTCCAGGCAGCCTGTTCTACTACATGGTTGTTCTCACAGCGGAAGTTGTCATATTTTTTTTTTAAATCTACTTTTTTTGTACTTACGGCCCCAATGTTTGTGATGATCCTCTTGTAGGTAAGAAGGAGCTGCTGTTAGGTCCCCTTGAGCCTTCTCCAGGCTGAAGCAACCATCTCCCCCAGCTTCTCCCCTCCACAGGCAGTGCCTGTCCTCCAGCCTCCTGACCACTGTGATGGTCCCTCCTCTGGGCTTGCTTCCAATTCATGTTTTTTCTGGATCAGGGACCCAAACCCAGACACAGCATTCCAGATACAGCTAAGAAGTACCAAGCAGAGGGCAATAATCACTTCCCCATGAATACTGGCTCTACTCCTATTAGCTACAGCTCAGGATAGAGTTGGCAGCCTTCACTGCCAACGCGCATCGCTAAATCCCTTTTCAACAGAGCCAAAAGAAATATTGTCCTTTTTCCAACAGGCTAAAGACTCCCTTACAACTTCTTCACTCCAGAAAAATTAGATTAAGACTAAGCCTTCTTCCTCCTTACACAGGCTCATTTTGGAGAGGATGGATTCAGCGTTTCAGATCTGGACTGAAGAGTCTGCTAACCTGAATTGAGACTTAGGCTCCGAATCGACTGCTTTTGAATAGAGGCAAAAAAGGTACTCTATCACTGCCTATCTTATAACATTGCAAAGAAACGTTAGAATCGACTGCTTTTGAATAGAGGCAAAAAAAGGTACTCTGTCACTGCCTATCTTGTAACATTGCAAAGAAACGTTTGGCTTGTGTCCTTTTTTCCATTCATTAAAAATTACTATTGTGAACACTCTACAAAGAGTGATGCCACTGTACTACCTCAGTCTTATCAGGCAAAATAACTCCCCAAGAGCGCCAAAAGAAACCTCTGGATCATCAGCCTTTTATGCAGTTTGTTGTCTGAGCATCTCGGGCTTCTCACTGCTAATTGCTTTCAATCAGCTATAGCTTTGCAGACGCTGCTGAAGAGCCACTCAGGATTCTTCTCAAAAAGACAGCAAGATTTAAACTTTTAAAAGCCTAGCAGCGCATCTGATGGCCCATGTCCTTTCTAGCTCATTCAAGAGCCGCAGATTACTGACTGTGGTAGGGAAGCCCAGCACAGGAGGCAGAAATGTTTTTGACTGTTTTTGTGAAATCCTCCACCTAGTTACAGAGGGTAGAGGTTGCTCTTCATAATGGAAAGTGAGACCCAGAGATTAGTCACCACTTTCGGTCCAGGGCAGCGAGGAGTCACAGTGACTAATGTGTGCTTTAAAGTGACTCAGCTACAGCTTATCAGCCATCAGGCAGCTAGAAGGAGGAAGTCACACACAGAGTAAATTTATCAGTGATACACCCTAAAAATACTTGGGTAATGATTAAGAGCATAATGCCTGTCCAATTTTTCCCCTGTGCTACTCCCAAAAAGCAGCAGCGTCTACTCCAACGTAAGAGGACACATTTATGAGAACATTCTTTAGTATTTCCTGCAGCAGTAAGAACCCTCTTCCTACAAGTTTAAAGTGAGAGGACAACTAATTGCTTAAATCTGCAGAACATTTGACAACATTAGCAGGTAATAAGGAGCCCAGACAAAAGCTCACATTTAACAAAAGTCTAATACAGACATTAGTCCTTGCAAAGCATATGACATTAAAGAGACAACCATTAATGTAACCCTCATCTAGCGATAGGAGAAAGACACCACATGAAGACTTAAGCCAGGGCATATTTAAAACTCATTAGTATCCTACTATAACCTAGTTTCACACATCCCTTAGTTCAGCTGGCACATGACAAATTATAGATCTCTACACAGTAACAACGCTTGCTGCACGCAGAGGCTCAAGCAATGAAAACATCCCTTTTTGGAAGCATTAATATCTTCCAGCCCTCCAAAAAAAACCCCACAACCAAACAATCACCTCCTAGATAGTTTTCAGCTTGCTCAGCTCTGATGTAGCTGCCTGGAAAGCTTGATGAATATTAGGTAAGAGGGGATGACACAGCCACAACACGTCTTCTATGACTGACTGTAAACACACAGATTGGCTCAAACTGACCATGAAACATGAGCTGCTCCACTATTTTGGTCTTCCCACTCTGTCTTCTTGCTACAACCACCAGTTCCTAACCTTGCATACCACCAAGCAGCAACAGCATAAGGCTCTCACATCACAACCAACACCCCCAGTAAAACAGAGATGGGAATATTCAGGTCCTCGTTTTCAAGCCATTTGTTCACAAGCTCAGACACCCAAATCTATGTACAACTCACACACTGAATATTTATTTCCCTCCCACTTTTTCCCCCACCCCCCAGCTTTTCATGCCACACTTTCAGAAGTAAAACAGGGGAAGTTTGATTCTAACACCAAGAAGTTCAGACTACCAAGTAACTTCAGTGACTACCATGATCAACCCACACAGATGTTTACATAGGGGATTAGAACAGCACAGAAACCTTTCAAAATACATTATTTGAGCTTCCAGTTTGCAATAACCAAAATCAAGTTTGCAAAGCAGCTCTGAGAAGGACTAGGGGGTGTTGGTGGATGAGAAGCTCAATGTGAACCACCAATGTGTGCTTCCAGCCCAGAAAGCCAAGCGTATCAAAAGCGGCAAAAGCTCAACGTGAGCCAGCAATGTGTGCTTCCAGCCCAGAAAGCCAACCGCATCAAAAGCAGCGTGGCCAGCAGGTTGAGGGAAAGGTGGTTCTCCCCATCTACTCTGTTCTGGTGAGACCCCACCTGGAGTACTGTGTCCAGCTCTGGAGCCCTCTGCACAAGGACATAGACCTGTTGGAGTGGGTCCAGAGGATGGCCACGCAAACAATTAGAGGGCAGGAGCAACTCCCCTACGAGGACAGATTGAGAGGGATGGGGTTGTTTATTTAGATTAGACAATAGGAAGAAGTTGTTTATTCTCAGAGTGGTGAGACACTGGAACAGGTTGCCCAGAGAAGCTGTGGCTGCCCCATCCCTGGAGGGGTTCAAGGCCAGGCTGGATGGGGCTTTGAGCAACCTGGTCTGGTGGGAGGTGTCCCTGCCCATGGCAGGGACTTTGGAACTAGATGAATTTTAGGGTCCCTTCCAACCCAAACTATTCTATGATTCTACATGATGGGTAGAATTTCAGTGAAAAAACCCAGTTAAGTTTAAGCACTACACAGTTAAAACTGTCCCCAACCCAAACCATTCTATGATTCTACATAACTGGTTTTTTTCACTGAAATTCTACCCATCAAGTTTAAGCACTACACAGTTAAAGCTGTCCAAAAAAAAAAAAAAAAAGTCATCACACCCTAAGCTTCCTATGGTCTTCCTTCAACTTGTTCAAGCATTCCATTAGCTCAAGAATTTCTATTAATAGGAGAAAATACTTTCCACATTATGCTGACAAGAAAAAAACATTTCCTTTTTATATTATTTAATTAGTCAGGGGAGAAGACGCTGTTTAGCTTTAAATACTAAACACGTAAGTGCTATGCTCTTCAACACTTCCTTCTTCATTTTTGTTTCTGCCACAGACTGACAAACAGAACACATTTCCTTAGAATTCTCTCTTCTCCTGCCTGGCACGCCATCTCCCCACAATACTGGGTATCACTGTCAAATAAAGTTTCATAAGGATGGTAACAGTGGGACAGCAGTAGAAAATAATTACAAGTATCACCCAAATTCTTTCTGTAATATCTTTCACATTTTGCTATCTCCATTTGAGCCTCACCTTACAGGTCAGAAGAAGAGTCCAAGAATATCGTTAATGTGTTTTTCCTTCCGCTCACAGAGCTACTGTTTACCTTGGTACCTAACTAAACATCTCCAAAATAATTCAAACTGTTCTTCATTATTGCCTGCTAAACTGCAGCTTTTGGCAATAAATGTTTTCTAGCCTCTAGCTTTTAACAACCCTGCATTGAACATCACCACAATAACGATATCTATTTATGCCAAGCCTCTCATGAGGCTCAGCATAGAGGCTTTTACCATTCGCCACAATCCTTTCATTTATTTTCCTTTGCCTTCTCACCTAATAGTCAAAGAAGTTTATTGCTTTTTTTTTTAAAGCTTTTTAAAAGGATTTAAGGAACTAAGTCAGTCAGAAAGGATTTAAAGAACATAGTTAGTGATGCTCATCCTGAACTCCTGTTTGCTAAAACTGCAAAATTAAAGCTATTCTCACAAGAAAACAGCCAAGTACCGCCTTCAGCACTGCTCCTAGAAGAGTCATCATTAGATTCTCTCCTTGTATAGAATCGTAGAATAGTTGGAGTTGGACCTTTAGAAGTCATCTAGTCCAAGCCCTCTGCAATGAGCAGGAACATCTTCAACTAGATCAGGTTGTTCAGAGCTTCATCCAACCTGGCCTTGAATGTTTCAAGGGGCAGGGCATCTACCATCTCTCTGGGACACCTTGCCAGTGTTTTCACCACCCTCATTCTGAAAATATTCTTCCCTATACCTAGTCTAAGTCTTCCCTCTTTTAGCTTAAAGCCATTACCTCTTGTCTTATCACAGCAGGCCCTGCTAAAAAGTTTTACCTCATTTTTCCTGCAGGCCCCCTTTAAGTACTGGAAGGGTGCTGTAAGGTCTGTCTGGAGCCTTCCAGCCTCCAGGCTATTTAAGTACTGGAAGGGTGCTGTAAGGTCTGCCTGGAGCCTTCCAGCCTCCAGGCTGAACAACTCCAACTCTCTCAGCCTGTCCCCTCAGGAGAGGTGCTCCAGCCCTCGGATCATCTTCATGGTCCTCCGCTGGACCCACTCCAGCAGGTCTATGTCCTTCTTGTGCTGAGGGCTCCAAAGCTGGACAACACAGTAGTCCAAGTGGGGGTCTCATGAGACCAGAACAGAGGGGGAGAATCACCTCCCTCAACTTGCAGGCCATGCTTCTTTTGATGCAGCCCAGGATAAGGTTGGCTTTCTGGGCTGGAAGCACATATTGCCAGTTCATGCCCAGCTTTTCATCCACCAGTACTCTCAAGTCCTTCTTGGCAGGGCTGCTCTCAATTCCTTCATCCCCCAGCCTGTACCAATACCAGGGCTTGCCCCAACCCAGGCACAGGACTTTGCATTTGACATTGTTAAACCTCATGAGGTTCACACAAGCCCACCTCTGAAGCCTGTTCAGGTCTCTCTGGATGTCAACCTGTCCCTTGGGCAGGTCAACCACACCACTCAGCTTGGTGTCACCTGCAAATCTGCTCAGGATGCCCTCAATCCCACTGTCTATGTCATTGATGAAGATATTCAACAGTACCAATTCCCCGAGGGACACCACTTGTCACTGCTCTCCATCTGGACATAGACAACTGTTTTGTAGCATCTGTATCTTTTCCATGCACATACAGCATGACTAAGAAGGTATAAAGGAAATTAATAATCAAATCACTGGAGTTACACTGATCTTCTCCTACCAATTGGTAAAATACAGTGCAAAAGTACTGAGGCTACACTGAATCTCCACAGAATGCTTTTAGAATACACTGTACCACATACATCAGGTGGCAACTTCCACTCTGTAAGCTACCTGTTATGCCCAAGGAAGGCTTCTGGTCATCATGGAACCTGTTATCTTTAGAAGCATTGCAAAGCAAATGATCACTCAGGCTAATCAAGCATGAATGTGAGGTGCAAGTGTAAGCT